CTAAACCAGGTCCAAACCAGGACTACACTTGGATTAAACCAGGTCTAATCAGAAAATTACTGTATTTTAGACATTATTTTTGTAAAAAGAATCGAAAATCAGATCCTAATCAATTCTAAAACTATTGAAACCTGAAACCACATCCTCATATTCTTAAGGTCTGGGTCCTAAAAAAAGTCCCATTTTCAGGAGGGAGCAGAACCTTCAGATCCTTTAGAACCTGGAACCAGAACAAGAATAAGAGCACAGAGACGAGTGTACACACATGGACCGGGTTCAGACCGGGTTCAGACCGGGTTCAGACCGGGTTCAGACCGGGTTCAGACCGGGTTCAGACCCGGATCACACAGATATAAGGACACATGGGAATAGAAAAATTCTACTGTTTAATCTGGTAAATCACATTTTCTATTCCAGAGTTTCCTAAAGTAGATTTATGGTTAGATAAATGTTAACTTTGCTCCATCTGACCCTTTCATCAACAAACTCCAACCTCCACGTCCTCGTTGGTCTTCTTCTAGACCTCCTGTCTCACTGCAGATCTCTGAATCCTACGACCAAAAATATTCCCGATCCCTCCTCTGGTGATTTCCAAACCATCACAGTTTGGACACAACAAACAGAATTATTAAAAAACTTTACAACTGTTCCCGTCAGCTATTCTGGGACGAGGTTCAGTTCTGATTAAGTCCAGGTTCAGTCCTAGTACAGTCCTGGTTTATTCCTGGTTCAGTCCTGATTCAACCTGTGTGTAAATAAGGGCTAATATAGATCCAGAGTAGGGGTAAACCTGCCCTAAACCAGGACTAAACCAGGACTTAAATTGGCACAAATCATGTTTAAACCAGAAACAAAACAGGAATCATGATTAAAAGCAAAACAGTCACAAGAGACCTGGTTCAATCCTGGTTTAGTCCTTGTTTAGACCTAGTTTATTCCTGGTTTAGTCCTGGTTTAGTCCTGGTGTAAATAAGGGCTAATACAGATCCAGACTAGTGGTAAACCAGCCCTAAAACTGGACAAAAATTGGCACAAATGATATTTAAAACAGGAACAAATAAGGAATCAAGATTAAAAGCAAAACAGTCACAAGAGTCCTGGTTTAGGCCCGGTTCAGCCCTGGTTTAGTCCTGGTTTAGTCCTGGTTTAGACCTGGTTTAGACCTGGTTTAGACCTGGTTTAGACCTGGTTCAGTCCAGGTTTAGACCTGGTTTAGTCCCGGTTCAGCCCTGGTTTAGACCTTGTACAGTCCTGATTCAGTCCTGGTACAGACTTGTTTTAGTCCTGGTTCAGTCCTGGTTTAGACCTGGATTAGACCTGGTTCAAGTCAGGTCCAATTCAGGTTCAGGCCTGGTTTAGTCCTTGTTTAGTCCTGGTTTAGTCCTGGTTTAGTCCTGATTCAGGAGTAAAACAGAAACTCATTTTCATTTCACAGTTCGGTGAATGACAGGACACATTTCTGCCACATTAACTTAAGTCTCCTCTAAATCTGACTGAATTCTCTTCACTTGCACTTCCACCAGAGTCCGGACTGAGTTTTTAAGAGTCCGTCCTGAGTGTTTTTGAGAGTTTTTGAGGCGGTTAGTTTCCATTCGCCCAACACAAAGTGACAGGACGAGGCTAAGCTACCGCCGTGCTAATGCTAATGCTAACAGCTAACTGCTAACAGCTAACCAACAGACAACCTCAAAAACGTCTCTCCGCAGCCCAAAAACATTCAACAGATTTCACGTTTAACCACCACAGGAACAACTAAACAACACACTTTTAACCCCAGGTCCTGTCATTAGAAAAAAAAAAATAAAAATCAATGTTTTTAGCGTAAACTTGACAGGCCCCGGGTTAGCGCAGTTAGCAGACGTACGCGCTAATGTTGACATGAGGCTAACCACCAAATAATGCTCATTTTTGGTCAAATATCTTAAATTAGACACGCGAAATCGGTTTCTTAAGATGAATTATAGCGTCTTGGTTTCATAATGGCTTTATTGGTGTTAAAATAATGCGTGTTAGAGCAGATAAAAGCGTCTGAATGCGGTGAAACGCCGGGCAGCTCGTGTGTTCGTGACATAAACGGAGAATTAAGACGTAACGAGGACGAAACAGAAAGTAGAAAGTAAAGTTTAAGAGACAAAAAGGCGAAGGGACGGAGCTAAACTGACATTAAAACGAGTCAAGAGGAAGAAATGTGAATAAAAAGACTGAAACAAAGCGAAGACGTGAGCTGTGACAGGGGGAAGTTAGAAGCAAAACACCGGGAAACAGAACTGAGCTCTCACACAAAGTCCTGGTTTAGACCTGGTTTAGTCCAAGTTTTAGTCCAAGTTTTAGTCCAAGTTTTAGTCCAAGTTTTAGTCCAAGTTTTAGTCCAAGTTTTAGTCCAAGTTTTAGTCCAGGTTTAGTCCAGGTTTAGTCCAGGTTTAAGCACAAATTTTAGCCCAGTTTTAGGTCAGGTTTAGTCCCAAATTTTAGGCCAGGTTTATTACAGATTTAGTCCAAGTTAATCCAGGTTTAGTTCAAGTTTTAGCCCAGTTTTAGGCCAAGGTTTAGGCCAAAGTTTAGGCCAAGGTTTAGGCCAAGGTTTATTCCAAATTTAGTCCAGGTTTAAGTCCAGATTTAGTCCAGGTTTAAATCCAGATTTAGTCCAGGTTTAGTCCAGGTTCTTCCCTACATTAGTCCTTGTTTAGATGTGTGTTTGGGCTCTTGTGACTTGCTTTTAATCATGATTCCTGATTTGTTCCTGGTTTTCTGCCAATTTAAGTCCATGTTTAGTCCTGGTTTAGGCCAGGTTTTAGGCCAAGTTTTAGGCCAAGTTTTAGGCCAAGTTTTAGGCCAAGTTTTAGGCCAAGTTTAGGGCTGGTTCATCCATAGTTTAGATCTAGATTAGTCCTTGTTTAGACGTGTGTTTTGGGCTCTTGTGACTGTTTTACTTTCAATCATGATTCCTGATTTGTTCCTGGTTTTGTGCCAATTTAAATCCATGTTTAGTCCTGGTTTAGTCCTAGTTTACTCCTGGTTTAGGCCAGATTTTAGGCCAGGTTTTAGGCCAGGTTTTAGGCCAAGTTTTAGGCCAAGTTTTAGGCCAAGTTTTAGGCCAAGTTTTAGGCCAAGTTTTAGGCCAAGTTTTAGGCCAAGTTTAGGGCTGGTTCATCCATAGTTCAGATCTAGATTAGTCTGTGTTTAGACGTGTGTTTTGGGCTCTTGTAACTGTTTCGCTTTTAATCATGATTTGTTCCTGGTTTAAACATGATTTGTGCCAATTTAACTCCAAGTTTAGTCCATGCTTAGTCCATGCTTAGTCCAAGTTTAGTCCAAGTTTAGTCCAAGTTTAGTCCAAGTTTAGTCCAAGTTTAGTCCAAGTTTAGTCCAAGTTTAGGGCTGGTTCATCCATAGTTTAGATCTACATTAGTCCTTGTTTAGACGTGTGTTTTGGGCTCTTTTGACTGTTTCACTTTCAATCATGATTCCTGATTTGTTCCTGGTTTTGTGCCAATTTAAGTCCATGTTTAGTCCAGGTTTAGTCCTGGTTTTGGTCCAGGTTTTGGTCCAGGTTTAGGGTTGGTTCACCCCTAATTCAGATCTATATTGGCCCTTGTTCTGAGTTGTTTTGGACTGTTTGTCAGTCTGTGACTGTTTTGCTTTTAATCCTGATTCCTGATTTGTTCCTGTTTTCAATACGATTTGTGCCAATTTAACTCCAGGTTTAGTCCTGGTTTAGTCCAAGGTTTAAGGCAGGTTTACCCACTAGTTTGGATCTATATTAGTCTTTATTTACACATGTTTCAGTGCTTGTTTTAGTTGTTTTGAGCTGCTTTTGACTATCTCACTTTTAATCACAATCCTGGTTTAAACATGTTTTGTGCAGATTTAAGTCCGTGTTTAGTCCAAGTGTTTAGTCCAAGTGTTTAGTCCAAGTGTTTAGTCCAAGTGTTTAGTCCAAGTGTTTAGTCCAAGTGTTTAGTCCAAGTGTTTAGTCCAAGTTTACCTCCTAGTTTGGATCTATATTATTATTATATATTTACACACGTTTCATCTCGTTTTAGTTGTTTTGAGCTGCTTTTGACTATCGCACTGTTAATTCAACATCCTGGTATAAACATGTTTTGTGCCAATTTAAGTCCAGGTTTTAGTCCAGGTTTTAGTCCAGGTTTTAGTCCAGGTTTTAGTCCAGGTTTTAGTCCAGGTTTACCTCCTAGTTTGGATTTATATCACACGTTTTATCTCTTGTTTTAGTTGTTTTGAGCTGCTTTTACACTTTTAATCCTGATCCTGTTTTGTGCCAATTAAAGTTTTTGTTTAGTCCTGGTTTAGTCCAAGTTTTAGTCCAAGTTTAGACCAGGTTTGGATCTATATTAATCCTTATTTACACACAGATTGCTTTTAATTGTGATCCTGTTTTAAACATGATTTGGGGCAATTAAAGTCCATGTTTAGTCTTGGTTTAGTCCAAGTTTTAGTCCAAGTTTACCTCCTGGTTTGGATCTATATTAGTCTTTATTTACACACATTTCATCTCTTGGTTTAGTTGTTTTCAGTTTTGTTTTTGAGTTTTTGTTTTGACTCTTTTGCTTTTAATCGTGAGCCCGTTTTAAACATGATTTGGACCATTTTAAGTCCATGTTTAGTCCTGGTTTAGTCCAAGTTTAGTCCAAGTTTTAGTCCAAGTTTAGGGCAGGTTTACTCCCTAGTTTGGATCTATATTAGCCTTTACACGTTTCACTTTAGTCCTCCTGTCTCTGTCCTCCTGGGTTAAACGTGTCCCTGTCCCTGTCCTCGTCCATCAGATGTCACGGCTCGTCCTCCCGCAGTAAAACCGCCCGTACAGCCCCAGACACCGGGAGCCGGTGTGCGGGAGCGGTGTGCGGGAGCCGGTGTGCGGGAGCCGGTGTGCGGGAGGGCCGGTGTGCGGGAGGGCCGGTGTGCGGGAGGGCCGGTGTGCGGGAGCGGTGTGTGCGGGGCGGAGGGCCGTGTGCTTGTGGGGGGAGAGTGTTTCCGCTCACCGTTCAGCGCGGACGCCTGGAGAATGGCCCCCGAAGTGCCGTCGATGACCGTGATGCTGCCGCGGCTCGTCACGGCCAGGATGGCGTTGAGGGCCGGGTGGTAGCTCAGGCTCCGCAGGCCCTCGGCGTCGCAGCGCAGGCAGCCGTCCCTCAGCACACTCCAGTCCGAGGACGAGGAGGCCGCGGCCGCCATCTTCCCCCAAAAGCGCCCTTCCCGTCCCCGGCCCGGCTCCGTCACTTCGTTCAGATTCAGAGAAAACGTTGAGACGCGCGCGGCTAAAGCACGAGTGTCATTCCCGGTGCTCCGCTGCGGGACTCGCTGCGGGACTCGCTGCGGGACTCTCTGCTGCGGCGGCGGCGGCGGCGGCTTCTCCTCCGCCTGTTTCCGCAGCGCTGCTATTCACCATCTGCGCCTGCGCACTCCGCACAGGTGACTGCGCGACGCTCTAGAGGGCGCGCGGTGCTCATGTGACACCTGCGGCCGCCATCTTGGAACTGCCTGATTTAGAGTTAGACCAGCGGTGGGCAAACTACGGCCCGGGGGCTAAATGCGGCCCTTTAATCTTTATAATCCGGCCAGCCGAACTTGAATAAATTATAATGATGAATGCAATGACAATAATAAATATGAATAGTTCATGTAATATTATTAATAAAATCTACAGAAATATGCAGAACATAAGTGCAATAAAGTGAAGCAACAGCAATAAAGTGTGAAAATTGATCAGACATTTCCTAACACAGGAAACGACAGCACACAAACTTATTAAACAAACAAATGTTTCCATTCTATGATAAAACAATAAGACAGTGATACGACTGATTTTGTATTTACAGCGATAACAATATGTTGTTTCAGTAAATTACAGATGTGAACTTATGTAAATATTTAAATCACTGAACAAGATGGAAAAATGTGATCAACAGACTTAGAGTTTACAGAGGAAATATTAAACCTACAAGTAAAATACAATATTAAAAATTAGTAAAGTGCAAATAAATCCATCCCCAATATCTTATAACATGCAAAATCCAGAGAAATCAGTGGACACTAAATGGTGTAAATGGTACGTGACTGTGTGAGGCAATTTCCTGCCTTTTCTTGAAACTGTGACTCACAGCGTGAGAAGCGTCCAGCACAGGGTTTCTGAGTGATAAGTGGTAAATGGTCACATTTTTCTATAGCGCTTTTCCACCTTCAAGGCTCAAAGCTCTTTACAACAACCACACACACATTCACACACCAGTGTACGCAGACACTGTGGGCAAGTAGGGAGTATTATAGTGCAAATGTAGTCTTGTATCTCTCAGTGTTTGAGTGGAGCTGTAGGAGCTTTGAGGAAGTAAACTGACAAAGGTGTACGGTCTACTCCTTCAAACTAATATAAAAATTAAAAATTAAAATAAATAAAATAAAATAAAATAAAATATCATGCCTCACAGCAAAATGTAAAAATTAAAAAACTAATTAATTTATTTATAATTCTTGCCATATTCAAATACCATATACATTATTATTATTAATATTATGTATTATTATGTATTATTATGTATTATTATTATTTATTATTTATTATATATTTTTTTTATAATCTGTGGCCTCGCTGCTTGTACACGCGCACCCGGGCCCCTCTAGAGTTTTTTAACGGCCCCAGGTTTGCGGCGTAAACTTACGTAGACTGCGTACCGTTATGTGAACTCTCGCGAGAGCCACACATGTCAGCGAGAAGATAACAAAGCCACTTCGGGTTTATTTTGTGTTTATTTTGTGTTTATTTTGTGTCGTTCTGCAGATTTTTCTGCGGTTTGTTCGTATCTGAGCCCCACGTGTCTCACTTTAAATGCTGCAAATGTGACGAGTTTTAGATCAGATTAAATATTTACTTTTTCATTTTTCACTCCTTTCTCTTCTCTCTTTAATTTTATGATGATTATTTCTGTTTTGGTTTGTTTACATTGTGATTTTAATGTTTTTTTATTCTGTAAAACACTTTGAATCACTTTTTGTTCTACAAATAAACTTGTCTCGACTTTTGACTTTTATTTTTCCACCTCGTGTAAAATAAAAACAACTGTTCACTTTTACAAACTCTTCTCTCTCCTTTGGACTCAGAGTACAGGAGGGGGAAGTGTCTTGCCCAAGGACACAACAGCAGCATTCCTGTCAGTGGGACCAGCTCCAGGTCTCAGTCTGGTCTTGGTCTCGCTCTGGTCTCGGTCTCGCTCTGGTCTTGGTCTTGGTCTCGCTCTGGTCTTGGTCTTGGTCTCGCTCTGGTCTTGGTCGCTCTGGTCTTCTCTGGTCTTGCTCTGGTCTTGGTCTTGGTCTGGTCTTGGTCTTGGTCTCGCTCTGGTCTTGGTCTTGGTCTGGTCTTGGTCTTGGTCTTGCTCTGGTCTTGGTCTCTCTCTGGTCTTGGTCTTGGTCTCGCTCTGGTCTTGGTCTTGGTCTTCTTGCTCTGGTCTTGGTCTTGGTCTCTGGTCTTGGTCTTGGTCTCCCTCTGGTCTTGGTCTTGGTCTCGCTCTGGTCTTGGTCTCTGGTCTCGCTCTGGTCTTTGGTCTTGGTCGGTCTCGCTCTCTGGTCTTGGTCTTGGTCTCTTGGTCTTGGTCTCGCTCTGGTCTTGGTCTGGTCTTGGTCTTGGTCTTGGTCTTGGTCTCTCTGGCTCTGGTCTCTGGTCTTGGGTCTCGCTCTGGTCTTGGTCTTGGTCTCGCTCTGGTCTCTGGTCTCTTGGTCTCTCTTGGTCTTTGGTCTCGCTCTGGTCTGGTCTTGGTCTCGCTCTGGTCTTGGTCTCGCTCTGGTCTTGGTCTTGGTCTCTTGGTCTCGCTCTGGTCTTGGTCTTGGTCTGGTCTTGGTCTCGCTCTGGTCTTGGTCTTGGTCTTGCTCTGGTCTTGGTCTTGGTCTTGCTCTGGTCTTGGTCTTGGTCTGGTCTGGTCTCTGGTCTGGTCTTGGTCTTGGTCTTGGTCTGGTCTCTGGTCTTGGTCTCTGGTCTTGGTCTTGGTCTTGGTCTTGGTCTTGGTCTTGGTCTTGGTCTCGCTCTGGTCTTGGTCTTGGTCTCTTGGTCTTGGTCTTGGTCTCTGGTCTTGGTCTCGCTGGTCTTGGTTCGGCTGTCTGGTCTTGGTCTCGCTCTGGTCTTGGGTCTTGGTCTGGTCTGGTCTTGGTCTTGGTCTCTGGTCTTGGTCTTGGTCTTGTCTCGTCTGGTCTTGGTCTGGCTCTGGTCTCTCTGGTCTTGGTCTCGCTCTGGTCTCTGGTCTTGGTCTTGGTCTTGGTCGCTTGGTCTTGGTCTTGGTCTCGTCTGGTCTTGGTCTTGGTCTTGGTCTCTCTGGTCTTGGTCTGGTCTGGTCTTGGTCTCGCTCTGGTCTTGGTCTTGGTCTTGTGGTCTGGTCTTGGTCTTGGCTCTCTGGTCTTGGTCTGGTCTTGGTCTTGGTCTGGTCTCTTGGTCTTGGTCTCGTCTGGTCTTGGTCTCTGGTCTTGGTCTTGGTCTTGGTCTTGGTCTTGGTCTTGGTCTTGGTCTCTGGTCTTGGTCTTGGTCTTGGTCTCTTGGTCTTGGTCTTGGTCTTGGTCTCTCTGGTCTTGGTCTGGTCTGGTCTGGTCTTGGTCTTGGTCTTGGTCTTGGTCTCTTGGTCTTGGTCTGTCTGGTCTTGGTCTTGGTCTTGGTCTTGGTCTCTGGTCTTGGTCTTGGTCTTGGTCTCTGGTCTTGGTCTTGGTCTTGGTCTTGGTCTTGGTCTGCTCTGGTCTTGGTCTTGGTCTTGGTCTCTGGTCTTGGTCTTGGTCTGGTCTTGGTCTCTGGTCTTGGTCTGGTCTGGTCTTGGTCTCTGGTCTTGGTCTTGGTCTCTGGTCTTGGTCTGGTCTTGGTCTTCTGGTCTTGGTCTTGGTCTTGGTCTGGTCTCTGGTCTTGGTCTTGGTCTGGTCTCTGGTCTTGGTCGCTCTGGTCTTGGTCTCTCTCTTGGTCTTGGTCTTGGTCTTGGTCTCGCTCTGGTCTTGGTCTTGGGTCTTGGTCTTGGTCTTGGTCTGGTCTTGGTCTTGGTCTTGGTCTTGGTCTCGCTCTGGTCTTGGTCTTGGTCTCGCTCTGGTCTTGGTCTTGGTCTCGCTCTGGTCTTGGTCTTGGTCTTGGTCTGGTCTGGTCTTGGTCTTGGTCTCGCTCTGGTCTTGGTCTTGGTCTTGGTCTCGCTCTGGTCTTGGTCTCGTCTTGGTCTGGTCTTGGTCTTGGTCTCGCTCTGGTCTTGGTCTTGTCTTGGTCTGGTCTTGGTCTTGGTCTTGGTCTTGCTCTGGTCTTGGTCTCGCTCTGGTCTTGGTCTTGGTCTTGCTCTGGTCTTGGTCTTGGTCTCGCTCTGGTCTTGGTCTTGGTCTCGCTCTGGTCTTGGTCTTGGTCTTGGTCTTGGTCTTGGTCTGGTCTTGGTCTTGGTCTCGGTCTTGGTCTTGGTCTTGGTCTCGCTCTGGTCTTGGTCTTGGTCGGTCTCGCTCTGGTCTTGGTCTTGGTCTGGCTCTGGGTCTGGTCTTGGTCTTGGCTCTTGGTCTTGGTCTTGGTCTTGGTCTTGGTCTTGGTCTCTGGTCTGGTCTTGGTCTCTTGGTCTTGGTCTTGGTCTGGTCTGGTCTTGGTCTTGGTCTTTGGTCTCGCTCTGGTCTTGGTCGTCTCTCTGGTCTTGGTCTTGGTCTCGCTCTGGTCTTGGTCTTGTCTTGGTCTTGGTCTTGGTCTTGCTCTGGTCTCTTGGTCTCTGGTCTTGGTCTTGGTCTGGTCTTGGTCTTGGTCTGGTCTCGCTCTGGTCTTGGTCAGGTCTTGTCTTGGTCTTGGTCTCTGGTCGTCTTGGTCTGGTCTGGTCTTGGTCTTTGTCTGGTCTGGCTCTTGGTCTTGGTCTTGGTCTCGCTCTGGTCTTGGTCTTGCTCTCGTCTTGGTCTTGTCTCTGCTCTGTCTGGTCTGGTCTTGGTCTCGCTTGGTCTTTGGTCTTGGCTCTCTGGTCTTGGTCTCTTGGTCTTGGTCTTGGTCTTGGTCTGGTCTTGGCTCTGGTCTTGGGTCTTGGTCTTGGTCTTGGTCTCTCTCTGGTCTCTGGCTCTGGTCTTGGTCTTGGTCTGGTCTCGCTCTGGTCTTGGTCTTGGTCTTGGTCTTGGTCTTCTGGCTCTTGGTCTCTGGTCTTGGTCTGGTCTGGTCTCGCTTGGTCTTGGTCTGTGGTCTTGGTCTTGGTCTCGCTCTTGGTCTTGGTCTCTTGGTCTTGTCTCTTGGTCTGGTCTTGGTCTTGGTCTCTCTGGTCTCGCTCTGGTCTTGGTCTTGTCTTGGTCTTGGTCTTGCTCTTGGTCTTGGTCTTGGTCTTGGTCTCTGGTCTGGTCTGGTCTTGGTCGTCTCTGGTCTTGGTTGGTCTTGGTCTCGCTCTGGTCTTGGTCTTGGTCTTGGTCTTGGTCTTGGTCTTGCTCTGGTCTTGGTCTTGGTCTTGGGCTCTGGTCTTGGTCTTGGTCTCGCTCTGGTCTTGGTCTGGACCTGAGCTGGAGAAAAACACAGGGAGAAGATGCAAAGTCGACCTGACGAAAATCCACTGATGGAAATGTTTCTAAAATTTGTCTAAAATGTTTGCCAATTTTAATTTCACACAATTTCACATTCTGAATTTTCACTGTTGAATTTGAGGCCTTGAAAAAATCTGTACTGAATGTTTTTTTTTTATATATATATTGAATTTTACACTTTTTATACTTGTGTACACTAAGAATTTCAGCAACTAAAATTCAAAATAATAAAAAAAAATTTAAGTTGTATCTAAAACTGAAAATCTGAAAGGACAAATGATCTGAAACTAAATTCTAGAAATAAAATTCTATAACAAGACGAATCTGTGCCGGTGTGAAGAATGTGCCGGTCACGTTTGGAGGGACAAAGTTTGGACAAACACAGACACAGAGACAGAGTTTGGACAGTTGGACAGAGTTGGACAGAGTTTGGACAGAGTTGGACAGAGTTGGACAGAGTTGGACAGAGTTGGACAGAGTTGGACAGAGTTGGACAGAGTTGGACAGAGTTGGACAGAGTTTGGACAGAGTTGGACAGAGTTTGGACAGAGTTTGGACAAACTCAGACTCGTTTTTCACGTCGTCTTGTGAATAAAAGTGAACACAAAACAGCTGCTCCTCCTTTTCTCTGAAAACCACAGATCCAGTCTGACAAGTTCACAACCGGGGACAGGACCTGGACACGTGAGACACAGAGACACACGGAGACACAGAGACACACAGAGACACAGAGACACAGAGACAGAAACAGACAGAGAGAGACACACGGAGACACAGAGACACACAGAGACACAGGGACACAGAGACAGAAACAGACAGAGAGAGACAGACACAGAGACACAGAGACAAAGAGAGACATAGAGACACAGAGAGACACAGGGACAAAGAGAGACATAGAGACACAGAGAGACACAGAGACACATGGGGACACAGAGACACAGAGACACAGAGACAAAGAGAGACATAGAGACACAGAGAGACACAGGGACACAGAGACAGAAACAGACAGAGAGACACAAAGGCACAGAGACAGAGAGACAGAGAGAGACACAGAGACACGAGGACAAAATATGAAACATTGAGTGCGTTTACATGCACATCAATAACCCGGTTATGATGGGGTTTTTTGAGTGTCCCTGTTTGTCAGTGCACATGTACTATACCACTACACTGACAGAACCGGGATGTGGACAATAACCGGGTTATTGATGTGCTCATTTAAAGGGTCTGTTACAGGTTCAGTGGCTCATTTCACAAGTTTATTTAATAAAATTTAAGATTTTACTCTAAAATTTTACCTATTTTTTATTTATTTATTTATTTTTGTGACGTTTATAATTTTGGAATAATTTTAGATGAAATTTACTGTGTTGAAAAATGTAAAATTTGTCTTTGTAGAATGTTCCAGATTCCACAGTTTGGTCACATTTATTATTTCACTGGAACATTTGGCAAAAATGTGGAAATATCAAAATGTGGAAATATTATTTAAATTTGATAACTCAGTTTCTTTTTTTTCCTGATGAAATCTAACTTATTATTTAACTAAATTTAAAAAAGCAGGAGTGTTTGTGGTAGAGCAGCGCCCCCTACAGGATCAGACTCAAACACATGAACAAACACGACCAAAAAAAAACTTTAAAATCATCTAAAAACTCAAATAAAAACACAAAAAACCCTTAAAGAGCACGTTTTCATTTCCCCGTGATGTGTTTTTGAGTTTAATTTTACACTAACTAATCTTTATTCTAGTTTCAAAGTTTGATAAAGAGTTTGTTTTAGTTTTTAATCAAACGTAGAAGTGAGAATTAATCTGCACACAGTCTGGGAATTGAACTACAAACCTCCTCAAGAGAAACTCCACAACATCAACTCTCTGTGACACGGATCGTTTCACAAGTTTACATCATGAAATTTAAGACTTTACTAAAAAAATTTACCTAGTTTTTTTATTTTTTGTGACAGAATAATTCTTCCAAAATTATAAACAAACAAAATACGAGACTCAAAAAAAACAAAACGACAAAAGCTGGGACAAACCGTCCTCTGGACAAAACCGACAAACCGTCCTCTGGACAAACCGTCCTCTGGACACAAACCGTCCTCTCCACAAACCGTCCTCTGGACAAACCGTCCTCTGGACAAACCGTCCTCTGGACAAACCGTCCTCTGGACAAACCGTCCTCTGGACAAACCGTCCTCTGGACAAACCGTCCTCTGGACATCGTTTAAGAAAACAGATTTAAAAATGTTTCTACTCTCTCTTGGAAATTTAAAACAGAAAAATAGGAAATTAAATGAAACGATTGTGCTTCTTGAAAAGTGGAAGGTTACAGTAGTGAACTTTTTGTGTTGTTTTGGTGGATTTTGTGTTTTTTATAAGTACAAAGTGTGAATATAAATTTGTACTTCTACGCGGCACAAGTGTTGAATTAAAAAATAAAAATAAAAACTCAACACTACTTTCTGTATTTGAGAATAGTATTATAGTATTTTTTTTATATTATTATTATTATTATTTAAATTTAGAATAGTATTATAGTATTTTTTTTAAATTTTATATTATTTTTATTTTTTTAGAATAGTATTATTATTTTTTTTTTATTTTATATTATTTTTATTTTTAGTATTTTTTTTTCAATAGTATTATAGTATTTATTTTATTTTATATTTTTTAAATTTAGAATAGTATTATAGTTTTTTAATTTAATTTTATATTATTTTGATTTTTTCATTTAGAATAGTATTATAGTAATTTATTTTATATATATATTTATATTTTTTTAGAATAGTATTATAGTGTTTTTTTTATTTTATATTATTTTTATTTATTTTTTTTAGAATAGTATTATAGTATTTATTTTATTTTTTTATTTAGAAATAGTATTGTTTTATTTTATTTTATATTTTAATTTTTTTCATTTAGAATAGTATTATAGTATTTTTTTTATTTTATATTATTTTTATTTTTTTATTTAGAATAGTATTATAGTATTTTTTTCCCCACAAATGGATTTTTAAATGCAAATAAACGACTTAAAAACATTAAAACAGAACTGTCACTTGGAGAGAATTTTTTTATTTTTTATTTTTATTTGTTTTTTTGGTTTAAATAAAAATATCTGCTGATTGTTTATGCTGCAGTCGTCTCATCCAAACCACGAGCGAGAGAATAAAAAACAAAGAATCATCTCAGAAGGACAAATGGACACAAAGTGAAAAATGAAAGTGTCTCTCGTCTGTTTCGCGTCGCGGGAGTTTGATTTAGTTTTTATCAAATGTAGAAATGAGAATAAATCTGCACACAGTCCGGGAATCGAACTCCAAACCTCCTCACGGTGACGACCTGAGAAGAAAAACCTCCAGAACAGAAACACATCGACACATCTGTGTGACTCGGACCGTTTCAAAACCGACTCATCGACCAAGTTTTTTATTTAAAAGCATAAATAAGCAGGAGGCGGAGTAACCATGGTAACAGGAGAACAGGTGTGTGCATGTAACAGGTGTGTGTGTAACAGGTGTGTGTGTATGTGTGTAACAGGTGTGTGTGTGTGTGTGTAACAGTGTGTGTGTGTAACAGTGTGTGTGTGTGTGTGTGAAACAGGTGTGTGTGTGTGTAACAGGTGTGTGTGTGTGTGTAACAGGTGTGTGTGTGTAACAGGTGTGTGTGTGTGTGAAACAGGTGTGTGTGTGTAACAGTGTGTGTGTGTGTAACAGGTGTGTGTGTGTAACAGGTGTGTGTCTGTGTGTAACAGTGTGTGTGTGTGTGTGAAACAGGTGTGTGTGTGTAACAGGTGTGTGGTGTGTGTGTGTGTGTAACAGGTGTGTGTGTGTGTGTAACAGGTGTGTGTGTGTGTGTGTGTGTAACAGGTGTGTGTGTGTGTGTGTAACAGGTGTGTGTGTGTGTAACAGGTGTGTGTGTGTGTGTGTGTGTGAAACAGGTGTGTGTGTGTGTAACAGGTGTGTGTGTGTGTGTGTGTGTGTAACAGTGGTGTGTGGTGTGTGTGTGTAACAGGTGTGTGTGTGTGTGTGTGTGTAAACAGTGTGTGTGTGTGTGTGTGTAACAGTGTGTGTGTGTGTGTGTGTGTGTGTGTGTGTAACAGGTGTGTGTGTGTGTGTAACAGGTGTGTGTGTGTGTGTGTAACAGGTGTGTGTGTAACAGGTGTGTGTGTGTAAACAGTGTGTGTGTGTGTGTGAAACAGTGTGTGTGTGTGTGTGTGTAACAGGTGTGTGTGTGTGTGTGAACAGGTGTGTGTGTGTAACAGTGTGTGTGTGTGTGTGTGTGTACAGTGTGTGTGTGTGTAACAGTGTGTGTGTGTAACAGTGTGGTGTGTAACGTGTGTGTGTGGTGTGTACAGTGTGTGTGTGTGTGTGTAACAGGTGTGTGTGTGTAACAGTGTGTGTGTGTGTAACAGGTGTGTGTGTAACAGGTGTGTGTGTAACAGGTGTGTGTGTGTAACAGTGTGTGTGTGTGTAACAGTGTGTGTGTGTGTGTGTGTAACAGGTGTGTGTGTGTAACAGTGTGTGTGTGTAACAGGTGTGTGTGTGTAACAGGTGTGTGTGTAACAGGTGTGTGTGTAACAGGTGTGTGTGTAACAGTGTGTGTGTGTGTGTAACAGGTGGTGTGTGTAACAGGTGTGTGTGTAACAGTGTGTGTGGTGTGTGTGTGTGTGTGTAACAGGTGTGTGTGTAACAGGTGTGTGTGTGTGTAACAGGTGTGTGTGTGTAACAGGTGTGTGTGTAACAGGTGTGTGTGTGTATCTACAGAAATGTCCCAGAATGTTAAAGTGAAGTTTATTGCACAAAGGAAAAGCTCAGGCGCTTTTTTTTTTATTATTTTGACAAAAGACAAACTATTTACAGAAAAGAAATTTAAATATAATAAAACCCCAGAACCAGAAACACACAGAGGACCAGAGTTTACAACTATAGTCCTGGTTTAGATCTGGTTTAGTCCTGGTTTAGTCCTGGTTTAGACCTGGTTTAGACCTGGTTTAGTCCTGGTTTAGTCCTGGTTTAGACCTGGTTTAGACCTGATTTAATCCTGATTTAGTCCTGGTTTAGACCTGGTTTAGACCTGGTTTAGACTGTAAAAAGGTCCAAGTTTGGTCTGGGTTTGGTCCTAGTTTTGGGCCCGTCCACACGACAAATCCTGGTTAAATCCACATTTGTGCTTCGGTTCGTTACAGACTGACCCACTGTTTGTGTGTCGCTCCTTCTGATGCAGAGACACATGTACACACCTGTTTGGTCACGACACACACACATACATTCAGTTTGTCCATTAAAATCAATGGAATCCATGAAATTCTTAATGATCAATTATCGATTAATCGATTAATCATGACCATCCCTAGAATCCACGTATCATCGAATCAGAAACGATCTGTGTCCAGACTCGTCGTGACAGAGGGGTGTTCTCTCTGTGTCAGAGGGGTGTTCTCTCTGTGACAGAGGGGTGTTCTCCTGTGACAGAGGGGTGTTCTCTCTGTGTCAGAGGGGTGTTCTCCTCTGTTCAGAGGGGGTGTTCTCTTGTGTGACAGAGGGGTGTTCTCTCTGTGACAGAGGGGTGTTCTCCCTGTGACAGAGGGGTGTTCTCTCTCTGTGTCAGAGGGGTGTTCTCTCTGTGTCAGAGGGGTGTTCTCTCTGTGTGACAGAGGGGTGTTCTCTCTGTGACAGAGGGGTGTTCTCTCTGTGACAGAGGGGTGTTCTCTCTGTGTGTCAGAGGGGTGTTCTCTCGTGTCAGAGGGGTGTTCTCCCTGTGACAGAGGGGTGTTCTCCTCTGTGTGTCAGAGGGGTGTGTCTCTCTGTGACAGAGGGGTGTTCTCTCTGTGTGTCAGAGGGGTGTTCTCTCTGTGTCAGAGGGGTGTTCTCTCTCTGTGTCAGAGGGGTGTTCTCTCTGTGTCAGAGGGGTGTTCTCTCTGTGTGTCAGAGGGGTGTTCTCTCTGTGACAGAGGGGTGTTCTCTCTGTGTGTCAGAGGGGTGTTCTCTCTGTGTGTCAGAGGGGTGTTCTCTCTGTGTGTCAGAGGGGTGTTCTCTCTGTGTCAGAGGGGTGTTCTCTCTGTGTCAGAGGGGTGTTCTCTCTGTGTCAGAGGGGTGTTCTCTCTGTGTCAGAGGGGTGTTCTCTCTGTGTGTCAGAGGGGTGTTCTCTCTGTGACAGAGGGGTGTTCTCTCTGTGTCAGAGGGGTGTTCTCTCTGTGTGTCAGAGGGGTGTTCTCTCTGTGACAGAGGGTGTTCTCTCTGTGTCAGAGGGGTGTTCTCTCTGTGTCAGAGGGGTGTTCTCTCTGTGACAGAGGGGTGTTCTCTCTGTGTGTCAGAGGGGTGTTCTCTCTGTGTCAGAGGGGTGTTCTCTCTGTGTCAGAGGGGTGTTCTCTCTGTGTCAGAGGGGTGTTCTCTCTGTGACAGAGGGGTGTTCTCTCTGTGTCAGAGGGGTGTTCTCTCTGTGTGTGACAGAGGGGTGTTCTCTCTGTGTCAGAGGGGTGTTCTCTCTGTGTGTCTGTCAGAGGGGTGTTCTCTCTGTGTCAGAGGGGTGTTTCTCTGTGTCAGAGGGTGTTCTCTCTGTGTCAGAGGGGTGTGTTCTCTCTGTGTCAGAGGGGTGTTTCTCTGTGTCAGAGGGGTGTTCTCTCTGTGTCAGAGGGGTGTTCTCTCTGTGTCAGAGGGGTGTTCTCTCTGTGTCAGAGGGGTGTTCTCTCTTGTGTCAGAGGGGTGTTCTCTCTGTGTCAGAGGGGTGTTCTCTCTGTGACAGAGGGGTGTTCTCTCTGTGTCAGAGGGGTGTTCTCTCTGTGTCAGAGGGGTGTTCTCTGTGTGTCAGTAAGGGGTGTTCTCTCTGTGAAGAGGGGGTGTTCTCTCTGTGTCAGAGGGGTGTTCTCTCTGTGTGTCAGAGGGGTGTTCTCGTTCTCTGTGACAGAGGGGTGTTCTCTCTGTGTGACAGAGGGGTGTTCTCTCTCTGTGACAGAGGGGTGTTCTCTCTGTGACAGAGGGGTGTTTCTCTCTGTGTGTCAGAGGGGTGTTCTCTCTGTGACAGAGGGGTGTTCTCCTCTGTGTGACAGAGGGGTGTTCTCTCTGTGTGTGACAGAGGGGTGTCTCTCGAGGGGTTCTCTGTGTGTCTGTGTGACAGAGGGGTGTTCTCTCTGTGTGACAGAGGGGTGTTCTCTCTGTGACAGAGGGGTGTTCTCTCTGTGTCAGAGGGGTGTTCTCTCTGTGTGTCAGAGGGGTGTTCTCTCGTGTGACAGAGGGGTGTTCTCTCTGTGTCAGAGGGTGTTCTCTCTGTGACAGAGGGGTGTCTCTCTGTGTCAGAGGGGTGTTCTCTCTGTGTGTCAGAGGGGTGTTCTCTGTGTCAGAGGGTGTTCTCTGTGACAGAGGTTCTCTCTGTGTCAGAGGGGTGTTCTCTCTGTGTCAGAGGGGGTGTTCTCTCTGTGTGACAGAGGGGTGTTCTCTCTGTGACAGAGTGTGGTGTTCTCTCTGTGTCAGAGGGGTGTTCTCTCTGTGACAGAGGGGTGTTCTCTCTTGTGTCAGAGGGGTGTTCTCTCTGTGACAGAGGGTGTTCTCTGCGTGTCAGAGGGGTGTTCTCTGTGTGTCAGAGGGGTGTTCTCTCTGTGACAGAGGGGTGTTCTCTCTGTGTCAGAGGGGTGTTCTCTCTGTGTGTCAGAGGGTGTCTCTTGTGTGTCTGTTCTCTCTGTGACAGAGGGGTGTTCTCTCTGTGTCAGAGGGGTGTTCTCTGTGTGTCAGAGGGGTGTTCTCTCTCTGTGACAGAGGGGTGTTCTCTCTGTGACAGAGGGGTGTTCTCTCTGTGTCAGAGGGTTTTCTCTGTGACAGAGGGGTGTTCTCTCTGTGACAGAGGGGTGTTCTCTCTGTGTCAGAGGGGTGTTCTCTCTGTGACAGAGGGGTGTCTCTCTCTCTGTGACAGAGGGTGTTCTCTCTGTGTGACAGAGGGGTGTTCTCTCTGTGACAGAGGGGTGTTCTCTCTGTGTTCTCTGTGTCAGAGGGGTGTTCTCTCTGTGTCAGAGGGGTGTTCTCTCTGTGTGACAGAGGGGTGTTCTCTCTGTGACAGAGGGGTGTTCTCTCTGTGACAGAGGGGTGTTCTCTCTGTGTCAGAGGGTGTTCTCTGTGTCAGAGGGGTGTTCTCTCTGTGTGTCAGAGGGGTGTTCTCTCTGTGACAGAGTGTCAGAGGGGTGTTCTCTCTGTGTCAGAGGGGTGTTCTCTCTCTGTGTCAGAGGGGTGTTCTCTCTGTGTCAGAGGGGTGTTCTCTCTGTCTCTCTGTGTCAGAGGGGTGTTCTCTCTGTGTCAGAGGGTGTTCTCTCTGTGTGTCAGAGGGGTGTTCTCTCTGTGACAGAGGGGTGTTCTCTCTGTCAGAGGGGTGTTCTTCTGTGTCAGAGGGGTGTTCTCTCTGTGTCAGAGGGGTGTTCTCTGTGTCAGAGGGGTGTTCTCTCTGTTCTCTCTGTGACAGAGGGGTGTTCTCTCTGTGACAGAGGGGTGTTCTCTCTGTGTCAGAGGGGTGTTCTCTCTGTGTCAGAGGGGGTGTTCTTCTCTCTGTGTCAGAGGGGTGTCTGTCTCTCTCTGTGACAGAGGGGTGTTCTCTCTGTGACAGAGGGGTGTTCTCTCTGTGTCAGAGGGGTGTTCTCTCTGTGTCAGAGGGTGTTCTCTCTGTGTCAGAGGGGTGTTCTCTCTGTGTCAGAGGGGTGTTCTCTCTGTGTGTCAGAGGGGTGTCTCTCTGTGACAGAGGGGTGTTCTCTCTGTGTCAGAGGGGTGTTCTCTCTGTCAGAGGGGTGTGTGACAGAGGGGTGTTCTCTCTGTGTCAGAGGGGTGTTCTCTCTGTGACAGAGAGAGGGGTGTTCTCTCTGTGTCAGAGGGGTGTTCTCTCTGTGAGGGGTGTTCTCTCTCTGTGACATGTTTCACTTTTACAAAACAAAACGTCAATTTTTCTGGGATAAATCTAAAATCGTCAAAATGAGATTAAAGTTTAAGAACTGATGACATTTGCATTATTAAATATTATTATCATTGTCACAGTGCCACATACAGGTGTGGCAGGTGTATTACATCATTTTCCCTCAGCTCCGTCGTCGTGTGGACGTGAACATTTATTGATCCAACTCGGACGACAAGTTTTTTTTAACCCACAAAGAAAAAAATCCAGGAGCTTTGTCGTGTGGACGTCGACTTAGACCTGGTTTAGTCCTGGTTTAGTCCTGGTTTAGTCCTGGTTCAGTCCTGGTTCAGTCCTGGTTCAGTCCTGGTTCAGTCCTGATCTGGTCCTCTGTGCTGTGTTTATGGCGTGGTCCTGGTTCTGTGCTGTGATTGGTCAGAGCCAGGCATGAGTCTTTTGGTCCTGGATAGGTCCTGGTTGAGTTCTGGTTGAGTTCTGGTTGAGTTCTGGTTGAGTTCCGGGTCAGACTCCGGTGTAGAGCGACAGGAAGTAGATGTAGAGGAGGAAGATCGGGTAGATGAGCAGCGGCTTCTTCGTTTTGAACTCATCCCCGACGAGAAGAGACGCCGCACTGTACGCCGCCCAGAACACGCCGAACAACTGACCACAGAGACCAGAGGGAGACCGGGTTAGACCTGGGTTAGACCTGGGTTAGACCTGGGTTAGACCTGGGTTAGACCTGGTAAAGTCCCTGATTTGGTCCTGGGTTAGACCTGGGGTTTTGTCATTTGTTTAGACGTAGTTTAGACCAAGTTTAGTCCTGTTGCAGCCCCTGGACTAGTCCCTGTTTTAGTCCTCAGTTTAGTGCTCAGTTTAGTCCTTGGTCTAATCCCCAGTCCAGTCCCCAGTCCAGTCCAGTCCCCAGTCCAGTCTCTGGTATAGTCCCTGGTCTAATCTCTGATGTAGTCGTTTCCTTAGTCCCTGGTTCAGGTCTAGTCCTTGGTCTAGTCCCCTGGTCTAGTTTCCAGCCTAGTCCACAGTCCCGGTCCCAGTCTAGTCTCTGCTCTAGCCTCGGGTCTAGTCCCCAGTTTAGTCCTGGTCCAGCACCTGGTCTACAGTCCCTGGTCTAGCCCCCTGGTTTAGTCCCCAGTCTAGTTCCTGGTCTAGATCTTGGTCCAGACTCACTTTGATGACGATGGAGAGCAGTTCGAATCCTCCGATGAAGAGCAGCAGAGGAGCGATGACGATGAGCGGGAGCAGAGAGTAACCGATCACCCCCAGAACCTGACCGAAAGAAACCTGCAAAACACACACACACACACAAAAAACACACACACACACACATACACAAAAAAACCCACATAAACACACAAATATAAAATCACACAAACACACAAAAAAACACAAACATAAAATCACAAAAAACACAAACACATTTCAAATTTACCAGGAAAAAACACAGGTACAAAATAAATGTGTTTAAAAATCAGAAAACAGGAGATTGACTCGTTAACAGGACGAGGATTTAAACTCAAACGGGACAAACTCACTTCTCCCCCGAGAACTCGAGCCAGAAGGAAAATGATTAAAGAACCAAAAATCCAAATGGTGATGATCCACGACACCACCTGAAAAAAACAAACAAACACGAGAGTCACCGGAGCTCGAGGACGAAGACGAGGACGAGCAGAGGAACTACTCATACTAAACCTAAGTACACTAGTAGTACTAGTACTTGTACTTGTACTTGTACTTG